TAAACAAACTCTTACTCATCTCCTTCTAAGAACAAAAATTGCCCCGTTTCTCTGTAGACTGCGCGCTCCCCCGGAGAAGATGGAAGACGCGGCCCGCCTCCCGGCAGCACCGGGGAGACGCTGGCCCAGGTCCCCGTCCGGGAGCCGGTGTTGCTCCCGTTCTGGTCAAGCGTGTTATCTTTGCCACTGTGGATTGAAATCTTGATAAAATAGATTATATGCCCCTTGTTTCACTTTAAAAATCTGCAGGCCACGACAGGTCCTCTATGGATTCGGTCACCAAGGCCAGCCTCGATCGGGCCACCCGGGTGTCGGGAGGGCTGCGCCGACAGAGGAATACTGAAGCGGCTCTGACGTTCCCTGCCGGGCTCCCCTCTGCTCTTCTGCAGGGCACCTCACATTACCAAGGGCCCCGCCCACGAGGAGCTTCCCGCACCACCTCCTCCCAGCTGCACGGCTCCTCTACCACTGACCACTGACGGGCAGCCCGGGTGCCGGACGTGACCAGGAGCAAACAACGCCCACACGGGTCTTACCACATCTGTCTTCATTGAGTGCCACAAGGCTACCTTGAAGCCTCCGCTACATCGTGGCTAGCTGAGGGTGTCAGACAAGTCACCCCAACACAACGACCGTCCTGGCTCTTTCTGGGCAGAGACCTCGTTAACGCTGAGTTAGGAAAGGCAGTGTCCGTGTAAACTCTGGAAACCATAAAACAAGGTAAGTGTAGCCTGAGAATGTAACCGAAGGGAGGAGGACCCACAGAAAACTCCTAACCGCATCAACACCCTCCAGGTAGACACAAACAGGGCCCGACGCCTCCCGTTCCAAAGGTGACCGCGTGGCCAGCTGAGGCCGTCAGGGACAAGGAGGCGGAGATGGTACAGTGCGCAGCTCTCCACCCCGCGGAGCGTCTCCTACACCCCTACTTTTAGCTTACCACCTCCGAATTTATTACAAACGTTCGAAACCTAAGGAGCTCCTTAGATTTGCCTACTGGTAAGTTTCACTTTAACCAGGAAACAGAGCCTCAGAGGACCCGGCTGCTGCCACGCCCG